ACCTTACATTTATAAAGTTCGAAACCCATTTTATGCATACCCAATACTAAAATCTTTCAATCTGTGCACGCAAATTGACTCTGCTATTCTTCACATACCTCATGTGGATTGTCAGGTTGTAAATAATGCCTCAAGAAATGGTACTGTTCGTCCTTATTCGGGCATCTGCATTGACATAATGTTCAACGGTGAAAGGTCATCCCATGTGATCGCCATAGTTTGAAAGAAAAGAAAAGAACGGAGATACAACAAGAAATAGAAAACATACAAGGTGAAGTCACATTCATAGCCTGCGTATTCATTGAAGTGATTCCCAATGTCAAAGCCTCTATAATTGTATGATCCATACTCAAAATCAATCAGGTAGAGTTTATCTGGATACTCATCAGAAAAGCAGTGTAAGTAAAGAGCTAAACAGCAAAAAACAATATTAGTTTCATTTTGCAAGTTGAGAAGAAAAAAATTGGAAAGCCAAATTAGCCGATGAAACAAGAATTTGAATCTATTTAAGCTTTTATCCCCTATGCATGTCAAACACCATTTCAAGCACGAGGAACCAAAACCAACATCACTGTTTTATTTCTCACCATCTTGGGCACCACCAATCAGAATCCTAGGCAACTATCACAAACTGATATCTGGTAATTGAATTTTGACCACTCTTGAACATCATATAGAAGGTAAAGTGACTTCTCACGAGTCAACAATAAGAGAGGGTGAAATGAAGTGTACAAAGTGGAATACCTTCTTCATCATTGACCATTATATTTCCAGAAAGCAAGTCATTGTGAGCGAAAACCACTGGAGAATTTAAAAGGCCAGTCAATTCCTGTTCCATATTCAGGAGAGACGTATATGAAAATATGGATAAAGTTCACTAACGAATCACACAATATAATCAAGACAGAATCAGCAAATGACAATTGAAACTAACAAACTTTCTAATGCATATAAATATACAACTCCTTTATCTTTCAACAACATATCATCGTTGAGAACACTTTTGCATTTGCCTTCCGCAGATCATTGTTATGCCAATTTATTATCATCTGGATACTATCGAAACTCATAGAAAGATAGCCAGCAACAAGAAATACCAAGTAAACTATTATAGGGGAGGATACCTTCAGCTCAATAATTTCATTGTGAACTTCACTAAATGAAATAGTCTTATATAATTTCTGCTTCTCATTGTCGTCAAATTCAAGAGTAGAGGCTGCAACAAGGAGGTGACTCAATCATGAGAAAAGTTACAGATATGAACTCATTTTAAAAATTGATATGGAATAATAAACCTGCCAATGAATATCAGGCCACTTCCATTCACCCAACATCAATTTAGCTAACAGGAGATGTAGAACATCAAATATAGGAAGCTGAAAATAAAGTAAGAGAAAACCTTTCTCAAAGAACTTGAGCAAGTCATTCCACAGCTGGGGTTCCTTAGAACCTGGAATTTCCACTTGATGGAATCTGCATAGTTGCTTGGCAATTTCAGCAGCCAGCTTCGGATTTCTCATGTCTGAGATGGGAAGAAGTTAAAGTCATGTCAATGGACAGATTCAGTTCACCAAGAACCCTGAAAATGTGTATAATTTATTTCAATAGAATTGACCTTCTGTCCCTAAGCTTGTATACTAGTTTTGATTGAAGAAATTGCCTTCAAGAACATTTACTTGGAAACGAGGCTCTTTTTAATATAGACTTGACCAAGAGATTATCCATAGATCTGACAAGGAGAGCTTTTGAAAGGTAGAATATTTAGTGGTGGGGTAAATTTGTCCATCTGTTTTTTGAATGGTCACATACAACCAGAGAACTCCTTTTCTTGTTTATTTGATTTTCATTTTCTGAATTATGTATACATCTTGGGTACATGCAAGCGCCTCCTTGCGCTTCTTTGATAAAATACTCTACTTATCGAGAGAATATATAACCAAAGTTACCTGATGGGATTAGCGTACGGGCATAGATGAAAGATTGCACCATCCCATTCCCGAAAACTCCAAGCAAATTTGCACCAAATCCTGCAGCTGAGAGGTATTTGATTGACTGAAGACAATATGCAGTGAGGAGTTACAAAGTGAATTGTGCTAGTAAAACATCATCGATAATGTAAAAGCTAAAGAAAACTAAGTTAAGACGAACAATCAGTATAGTTAGAAAGAAATTTCATACAAACATAAAAAGAAACACATCATTTTTGTGTTTATAATTACATTCAAAAAATTGTAAATGGGGCATAATCCAAGTACACGAAGAAGTACACCGATCAGATCTACCTATAATAATAAAATAAGCAAAACCTGAAAAGAAAAGAACACCCAACCGGACCACAGCGGAGACTTACAAGTGTTCCTATGTTCATATCCTTGAACAAATCTCAACACCTATATAACTCAAAGATACTAAAATAATAATAAAAAATCAATGAAAGTTCACAAAATTACCTGCAATTCCCGTTCCCGATTGATGACATACTCGGTGTTAGGCCCATACAATCTGACTGTTACAGACACATCGTTTCCATTCTCTTCCTTTACAGTCACCTTCAGCACTGCATGTATTAACGACCACTAATTCAGTAGTGCACCAGTGCACCACAGTTAAAAGACTCGCAAAAACTGATTGAATAATAAGGAAATCAAAGTAAAATTAATTTCACATAATGAGGTATTTATTGCGAACCCGTACTTTGTTTTAGCTTATAGAAACCAACTACAGCACACAAGAAGAAGAAAAGAAAACACTCACATAGATTTGTGATGCCACCAGAAACTGTCCCAACAGAGAAGCGAGAATTCTCCAAATTTGACCATTTCTTAAATAGATCCTTGCACAACTCTCTGAAAATCAAATTACACAAGACATAAATTTAAAAAATAATGATAAATTTTAAAGGATCCAGCCCCTGTTTGATTTCCGATCAAACAGAATAAAATGAAAGAAAACACAAAATCGGAATCCTGGATATCACATTTTTCTTCGTTTCACGCAATTTCTCATCTGCCAAACAGAATTTCAAATCGAACAAATTTTTTCCAGACAAAATAAAAAGATAAAGATAAAGATAAAGGCAAGGGAAGAGCTGAAGCAAGCAACAGAAAATGAATAAGAGGCCCTAGAAATGAAGAAAAAGATAGAAACTGACATTATCAGAGGCGTGATGTGAGCGAGGGGAAGCGAAGGGTCGACGGATAGAGAAGAAGAATGGATCTGAGAGGTGGAGCAATCTGAAGTTTGCTGAGCTACTTCCATGGCGTTCCAGATGTTCTTCACCCCTCCCATTTCTGCTTTATTTTCAAGCTTCCGAGTTTTCCTCTTAATTTTCAAACGCAACGTTTTACAAATTCTAAACCAGCTTCCAAGTCCAAGTTGCAGGTTCAGCGCGAGCTTCTGATTGGGCGGGTGTTCTGCAATGACAGATTTGCGCCTCAGAGATTTATCTTTTGCCACATGCATCCCTTCATGTTTGATTTGTAGGACACCGCCTCACAATCTTACGCGGTCACCGGCCAGTGGCCACTGGTCAATGACTTTTTTTAATTGAGTTGCGTGGTCAATGACTTGTATAATTTGCTTTCCAACAAAAAATCTTGTGTATAATAATCAAAGGCACTATGTTGTCGGCCCCTTCATCCGAATTCTGTCCCCCTCCTTGTAAACTAGAGTAATTTAGATTATCGCATTGTAAAATAAAAAGAATTATTTAATTTAAATTATAATTAATTCTTTCAATTTTTTTATAAATATTTTTTTTTTATTGAAAGAGGCAATGATATACTTAACACACACATTACACGAATGATAAGACTCAAACTTATGATATTTTCTAAGAGAGTAATTGCTACAAACTACTACACCCATAGACCATTTGCTTAATCCCACCAGAATTCAAGTACTTGGAAATCATCAACACAACCTTGTCTTTATGCGAGGTTAATTGGCCAAAGAGTAAAGGAAACAAATAACACAAGTAATAATTTATGATTTTGAAGACGTCATTTATATAACATTACAAGACAACAAGTGCCTTTTCGGATTGTCAAAATCGAAGGATGGTGACGATGCCAAGTGTGGAATTCCAGCTGGCATAATATTTGTTGAACTGTGGGGCCATATCTTATTAGTGGGCCTGGTCAAGGATTTGGGTTTGATTCATTGGAATTGAAATCATGTGAAAGAGCAATAGAATGAGGACCCTGTTTGGATTAAAAAAACTAGTGCATAGCGTCTCCACGCTAACATTATGCACCAGTTCTGTATTTTTATTATTAAATGAAAAAGAAACGTGAAAATTTGGGTCAATAGATTTGCACAAGATTTTTTTAATTAATTTTTATCATTGTGTTTGTGTTGTGGGGTTTGGCAAATTGGCATGTTAGCGTATCACTTTGGTAATCGACTTCAAAGCCATTTTTAGAGTGCATATCTCTCTTATCAACCCCAAACATATAGGAGATGCCAAATTAGTTTTGATTGACAACCTAATTTAATGGTTATCTTTCATTTATTTACCTGTCATCTCTCTCTCTCTGTCTCTCTCTCATTTAACAATTATACCAGCTGGCATACTAATCTGGTGCTTTTGACTAATCAACTCATAACACGTGTAAGTCAAAATAAACATGCATACTGGCTGAGCCCGGCTCTTTGAATCATTTCACCTCGTTTGTAGTAGTGACACTGATGAAATGAAATAGAGTTTTGCATGCTTCAAACTACCCTCTCCCTCTCTCTCTCTAAAGAAAACACGTCCGTGCCGTGTATGTAGTGTAGTTATAAATTTGCACCACAGCAACCCATGCAATTGCGTTTCTCTTTCCCTCCACGTTCGTCAGCAAACTCCCAGATTTAATGGAAAAAGGAATAAGCCCAACCTCTCAATCTGCTCAACCCAAGGTAAACAATAAAAACTGGTTCTACATATAATGTATCTCCATATAATGCTTTACTCTTTTTTCTTTTTCTTTTTTTAATGTTTATGATATCTCCATATAATGTATAAGGATGATGGTGAGTACAATAAGTCGGAGGAATTGGGAACAAAGAGAAGAAAAATAATCAAGGATGATGAGCACAACTTGGAATTGGTGGCGGCGGAGGAGGAGGACCAAATCAGTAAGTTGCCACATGAAGTTGTTGTTAGTATAGTGTCACTATTGACCCTAAAGGAAGCGGCAGCTACTAGTATCCTTTTTAGGCGATGGCGGTATGTCTGGGCATCTACTACGACTCTCAATTTCGAAGCTGTTAACTTTGAGGACCGCAACACTTTAGACTACTTCTATCGACTTGATGAAGATATACTGAACCAAGAAGGCCGTAAGTACGTCAATTGGGTGAATCGGGTGTTGGAGCAGCATAGAGGCCAAAGCATTGAACGTTTCCGGGTTATCTTTTTTCTAGACAAGGGCTTTACAAGTGACATTGATAAATGGATTCAATTTGCAATGGAAAAGAGAGTTCAAGTACTTCAGTTGGACTTGTTGGCAGAATGGGTGAATTACAGTCCACATGACTATGCGTTTCCCTACAAACTATTGGGTATGGAAAAGGGATCTGCTTCGAAGCACCAATTTTCTGGCTTTCCAAGCCTAGGCTCTGGTGGATATTACAGGTTTCAAGTCCCTCAAAGTTATTCGTTTTCGACATGTTGCTGTGACCGGGGAACTTGTTGAGTTTTTATTGTCCAACTGTCCACTTCTTGAGCGAGTATCTCTAACTATAGCTCGAGATTTAACTCATTTGAGAGTTGTTAGTCCCTCGATCGCATTGAAATATTTGGAGATAAAATATTGTCAACAACTCGAAAACATTGAGATTTCTAACGCAAACATTGTCTCATTTGTTTTCTGTGGATTTTTGGTACCATTGCATCTCAAGAATGTACCGCGGCTTGTTGAGGTAGCCATTAACAAGTTAGGCAATTATTATAGTGAATTCATAAGGTTTGCTTTCAGCCAACTTTCACCCTGTCTTTCTCATCTAGAGATTTTGAAGCTGGATATCAGAGAAGCGGTTAGTATATTATAAATAATCTCATGTGTGAGCTTTCTTTCTTCTTTACTTGCAACTCATTTGGTTTGTTTCAGGTGTACAATCCGAATCATGTATTTCCCATACTAGCAAATCTGAAGCATTTGCAATTATTAGTCGATGCAGACCACTATTTGTCCCTTGGTCGGTTAGCTTCTTTCATGAAGGCAGCTCCTTACATGCGGACACTAAATTTGGGGGTATGCTATGCATGCATTACTTGATACCTACATTTCTTTTCTCTTCATTCTATTATTTACGAATTACTAAATATTATTGTTGAATTGAATAAATTACAAAAGTATAAAAGGAATTAGGGTTTTTCTTTCTAATTAATATTATTGTGACTAAAGCGTTGTTTCTTTGGTGCGGTGCAGTTGGGTATGGGAACACCCGATTGGAAGACAGCAATAATAGAGAAAGCTACTGCCAAATGCCCCCATCACTACCTCAAGGAAGTAGAAATATCAGGGTACCGTGGCTACGAATGTTATGTTGAACATGTCATGTACTTGAAAATGAATGTTGTTGCATTGGAGAAGATTATTATAAATCCTTTCCGGTTTTGGTGTTGGCCTACTGGAAACGAGAGCAATGGCCTAGAAGTCAATGAGGAAGAGGATGCAAGAGATCATGCTATCCGATACCTTCAACAAAACTGCCCTCTACCATACAATATGTATGCCTCTAGCTACAAGTCAGTGAGGAAGATGATGCAAAAGCTCAGATCATGCTATTAATAACATATCTTAGCTTTTTATTAGCCCTAGTATCAACTGTTTATACTTTGATTTATGTTTTTTCTCTTCATTTATTTGGTTGGTATTGAATATTAGTTTTGAATATGGTAATTGACTTCAAAGCCATTTTAGAGTGCATCTCCCCAAATACACACTACTTACTTCAAATTCAGATTCTCTTGCAGCCATGACTAGTTCTCCTTGCACTACATTCTTCAGTTTCGCCTGTATACATAAAGAAAAATAGTCGAACATTCCAATCTCACCGATCTTTTTTTTCCCAAAAAAAAAAAAAAAAACTAGTCATACCACATTTGTATACCACCTCCTTAATAGAGATAGGTCCCCGACCTCTACTCTATTACAGAATTGGTATACAAATGCAATATGCCCAACAAGTATATAAAGTGTGCCTAAATGGCTCTATATATTTCAATTAATTTCAAGTTCCAAACTTCACCCAAATATATTATCTTAAAGGTTTTATTTATTTATTTTAATATTTCCTGAAAAGTGTTCTGAACAATTATAAAGTGTTAAAATGATAGAGAGTGGATGTTTACCATAAATTAATTGAAAAAGAAAAAGAGAAGGATTTATTTTAGATGTTTATAGGATTTGATGGACCAACCCATGAACTATGGTCCACGGGCCTCTATTTTGGTTTCAATGGGGCCGGAGCCCAACTGCTTTTAGGCTTTGTTTCTTTCTATCCAACGTACTTGCGCGAGCTCTCTCTCTCTCTCTCTCTCTCTCGCTCTCGCGCACAGAGAGATGATGATGCAGAGGCAACTGTTGAAGAAGCTCACTTTCAGACCTCCCAATGGAGTATCTCAATTCAATCAACGGGTCCGTACATATTTTCCACTTTCCGAAGCTACTTTCGGCTAAATATCATTTATTTATATTTTCATTTGATTTTCAGAGAGAAATGCACAGCAGGAACAAGGAGGCCATGGAGTTGATAGCCAAAGGGTGGAGTGCTCTAAAGGAAGTGGACAGAGTTATCGATTATTGCGAGCTCAATGATAGCCGCCTCATCCCTCTATTAAGGGTGTGTAATGTGTATGGATCTTTATAGTTGTGTTTTACATGCATTAAAACAAAAAAACCCAGTTCTGAATTTATGGTTTTGTTAATGAAATTGTGACAATTATTTGTTTTCTGATCTAACATAATGCATTAGCATGTCTCTTTCTGTTATTTGAATCAACATCAGGCAGCAAAGGAAAACTTTGAGTTGGCTCTAGAAGCTGACAACTCAAATACCCATGCCAGGTATTGGTTGTCCAAATTGCATTTGAAATACCATGTTCCAGGTGCTTGCAGAGCTATGTAAGTCTACTATCTTAATCCTTTTACTCATTGATGGTCGCCATACATATTACTACTCTGTAATTTGCCATGAGACATCTAGATCAGCATTTGAGAAAAGAAAAAAAAAAGGAAGGAAGTTAAAAGAGGTCATGTAATTGACGCTCTTGCCATTTTTGTCATAACAGAGGAGCTGCTTTGTTAGTTGAAGCGGCGAATATGGGTGATCCGGATGCACAGTACGAACTAGGTTGTAAGCTTAGAGTTGAGGTATGCCCTGATGAAGCAATTTGTATTTGAAGTAGAGAATTTTAGTTGTGTGGATTGATTTAGCTTTCTGAGTATTAAATTTTATGTTTCCAAGGTGTACCAGGCGCTATTCCTGTAATAGGCTTGCATGCACTCTAATGGCTCCTGTGCCCAACTCTTCCCCTACTAGCACACTGTTCTTTTGGTTTAAATTAGGGCTTTGCCAATTGTTTTATCACATGTCTTTCTTTTCTCCTTTTCACTTTATGCTTATACAATGACTTTGTGATATTTTCTGGCTGGTGTTTTGGTTAGAATGAATACGTCCAATCGGATCAACAAGCTTTCCATTATCTGGAGAAGGCTGTTGACCAGGTAGGTTTCTTTAACGCAGAAACTTTAATGCTTCTGAAATTTGTTTCGAATCCTTACCTGAGCTTGCTATGTTCTAGTTGCATCCAGGTGCTCTTTATCTTCTGGGTGCGGTGTATCTGACGGGGGACTGTGTGAAGAAAGATTTTGCCTCCGCATTATGGTGTTTCCATAGGGCATCAGACAAGGTAAATGCTGCTCCCTGTTTCAGTGATGGACCATCAATGAGGGATATGCATGTTGGTGGAAACCAAGTAATAATAGTCATAAAATTTGACATTGTTTAAACAAGTGTTTTAGTAGTTACAGATTTTCATTGGGCAAAAATGGTGAATTCTGAAGGCTTAGATGTACTTGATAGATTATTCTGTCATTTAACTATATGTACTTAAACTTTTCACATTTTCTTGGCTTGAACAGCCTCTTTCTTCCATTTGCAAAACAAGTGCCAAGTTTCATGATCCAAATGCGAAAAAAATAGAAGGGAATTCAACTGCATAGATAATTACTGGTGCATCATATGAATAACCTGACTGAATATATCCAAAAAAACAAAACTTTACAAATTTTTGTGTATACATATGCAGAACCTCATCTTATGTTCAACTAGTGTACCATTTTAAACTGTTCTTGCTTTTAATACATGCAGGGGCATGCTGGTGCAGCTATAGCATTTGGGTCTCTTCTTCTTCAAGGTCTATTCTTCCAACCATGCTTCTTTTGTTTTATTGCCAGATTTTTTCTTTAATTTAAAAAAAAAAACATTTTGTGTCCATAGAGTAGACAATCATGACTTTGACGTGACATTTTTGGTTGCACAATTCTAAGTGGGATGATGTGCACTCATAGATGGTGTAACACAATTAGTGGCTAGGAAGGGTGATTGGGAGATTCACTCACTGTAAGGTCCTCTTTGGCGATCATCCTATTTATGAGAAAATAAAACAGTTCTAAACACAGATATTATGTAGCCAATGGTCAAACAAATCCCATGGCTATATTTGAGTTGTCTGCATTCCACCATAGGAGATGGCAACATGGCAGCCGAAGTCATTTCCTATCCATTTTCACTTTTCAATATGGAGATTCTTCAAATGGAAATAATGGTTGCTTGCAGCACCCATAATTTATATTCCCTCTCCCAATTTTGTGAGATTTTTATACCCTTAATGGCATAATTGCATGTCTTAGGTGTTGAAATCCCAGAATCTGTGACGAAGTTCGTTTCCAAGAGGGGTTCTTTGGCCAGAACGGCAAGAAAGAATGGAGAAAGCCTTGTAACAGATCCCATTGAGATGGCAAGAGAACGGTTCCACATTGCTGCGAAAGGAGGATGTGATCTAGGACTGAAATGGTTGGAAAGACTTGAGGAGGAAGAGAAGCATCTATTGACCGGAACTGAAATGGTTGAACAGACTTAAGGAGGAAAAGAAGACTGATAACCGGACAATGTACTGACTGGATACAGCTCTTCCTTTAATCTCGTGACTGTTGATAAGTGTCGGTATAAACATATGGCACAATCCGAGAGACAAATTTGCTTCGCAACTGTTGGAGTGCAATGCTGGTCATGAATGACCAACTAGAAGGTTACTGATGTGGTGTGCTCTTTTGTATATATATATTCTTTCTTCATATTTGATGTATACTTTGGGAATTGCCATCAATCTTGCTTAGCAAATCTTTAGATGTATCGTGCCAGATTGATGATGGTTCAATTGACCAAGGATATGTTAGTTCAAATATTTCTAGGAACTATGGAGATTGGAAGAATGATTTGCTCTACTATTTTGATGCTTGTTCCTGGACTTAAATAATGTTGAAGCTTACTATTCCTTCTGATTTCTAAACAAAGATAGCAAAGCGCATCTTAAATATAGATTAAGATTAAAATAAAAAATTATCCAAAAAAAGGATGAGTTTTGGGAGGTCCCCAAATTCGAATAATTTAACTATTTTATTTTCTATTCTAACAAGAAAAAAGAGTTTATTTATTTATTTCGGAAGATTAAATCAAAATTAAGATGTGGGCCTATACTTCTACTAGGGGTTAATCAAATCATGTATAGGCGATTAGGTGTATAGCTAGCCAACTTGCCGAATTCCGATTCTACCCTCTTGGCCGTTGGGCTTCTCTATTAGTGAAGTCCACTCGCATTCAGTACGCGTGTGGAGCACCAAAGAGCCCCACAGTTTCCCACAAATATCGCCTGTCCAGTCAGGAAGATATTTTCAGAGATACGATCGCCTAAGCTAATCTCTACCCGTATGTCTCCTGCACCACCCACTCGCAGAGCTCCAAGTCATGCTACACAGGGACCCCGTACGACATAAAAACATAAAATTGAGGAGTAAAGGACAATTTCGCAAAACAAAAATTCGCCGGCGTTTCATGGCTCATGGATGCGCGCGCATTAATGAACGTGCAAAACGACGCTTCTCCACTCTCCCCACATACTTCGCCTGAGAGTCCTGCCCTCTCGGAAAGAGAAGCGAAACGTCTCTCTCTCTAGATTCGAAGGGGTTTTTAGGGTTTTGCAGCTTCTTTAACTTTTATGGGAAATGAAAAGAAAAGAGAGAGAGAGAGAGAGAGAGAGAGAGAGAGTTATTTTACTACATACTGCAACTTTTTTTCATCATCGTCTCAGTCTCTTTCACCAAAATAGGTACACCGTTTTAATATTCGAGCCAACCCCTCCACGACGTCAGTCCGTACAGATTCTCAAAACCTTAATTTCGCTCTGCATTTTTGTATAGACAACGCATCCCTACATTCTCTCCCCCATTTTTCATCTTCTCTTTTTAGCTTGAGCTCTGTTTTGTTGTTTCTTTGAAGAAAACGCCGTCGCAATGACAATGTCTTGGTCAGATGCTGTTACTGAGTCAACCCGGAAGCCCACTCGCCAACCTCGGCCCAGCTACGTACCTCCACATCTCAGGCACAGTGGCAGCTCCTACGGATATGGGTCCTCTACAGAGTCAGCCCAGTACGGCTTTCGGTCAAGCTACACCGGTCCCGGTAGGCAACCCGGTCGGGCCGGCACGGCTCGGGGCGGCCGAGGTCG